TTTGTTTCCTTTCCATTTTACTTCCTCTTTTTTTTCCCTCTCTCTCCTTTTAATTATCACCCTTTCTTTTTCACCCGTATTCCATTTACTGACTTTCTGGCAGCAAGAGTACCTCTTTTTTCTGCTAATGTTTTTAAAGATGTAGGCATTGGATTTTACAGTCTGTCAACACCGATGGCAGCACTCTAACTGATGGAAAATCAGGAAAAGGCCAAAGGTCACTGATTCTTGGCATGTACGGAGGCGACGAGTTAAACCAGAGAAGCTGAGACGTAAGAGGCAGAAAGCAAAAGTGTTTTTACGATAATGTATAAATACTTATGGCCATTGTGGCCAAAGACTGGGTCGGGACCCTTGGAGATGACAGGAAAAAAATATTTTCGGTCCCTAGGTAAATTGGATTTATTAAAAAAAAACATGTCCATGGACAATGACTCAGTTACTCACATAAATAAATAGGTGAAAATATAAGTTTTAAATAGAGCTTAAAATATATTTTTAGAAGTCTGATGGATACTTGATGGTCCTAATATATTGGGTTGTAATGTTGATAAAAAGTAAATGCAGACGTTTAAAGTAAATCAAATGTGACACAAACAACCCAAATAAAGATATTAATCACAGAGATAATACGATATGTTTCTGTTAAAAGAACAGAGTGAAAAGGGATTTGAGTTTTAGTTAAAATGGAGAAAGAATCCCTGTCCTCTGTAGGGGGTGCTATAAACACAATGTTAATACCCTGCTTTTTTGGCCCGTAGTTAAACGCTGCTGATTAAGTCTTGTGAGTTAAAGTGTTTTTTTATTTGGAGAAAATATTAAATTCATTGGCTTCAGAAACTAATAATTAAATTCTAGTTTCTGAAGCCAATGAATTTAATATTTTCTCCAAATAAAAAAAACAACACACATTGTGACAGACATGTCTACGCTGATGGTTAATCACTGCAGCACAGGCCACGGTACGCTGATGCACAGGGCTGCCATCTACACCGTGGATATAAAAGTGCCGTTCCCCCAACAGGGGAACACATCTCCGCCCCATGTGACCACAGGGTCTGTTGGTTTGGGTCCTGTTGGATTATGAACCCTTTCTCTGGGCTCGTCGTCCAGACAGATTCTACACCGTCACAGGTGAAACCTGATGACCTCTGCAGCATGACAGCATGTCCTAACATCATGACCAGGAGGTTCTCAACATAATAATTACCAATAATCTGTTACGTTCTTCAAAGAGCCACATAAGGCGCAGTGTGTGTGTGTGTGTGGACTTTTTTTTTTTGCCTTTGTGTGCAAGGTCAGAAAATTAGGTGAAAAAGAAGCTGCCCTCCGACCAGTGACCAGTTTTGCCCCGTCTATCTTTGGATCTCCACATCGTATTCTTGTCCTCTCCCTGAAAAGACATTCAGCCTAAATGTTGTTTGTGAAAACTATTTTTAGATCCCGTGCAAAAGTCCCATGAACAAACAAGTGGTTCTGGTGACAGGGGGACATTTGAGTGCTTGACTGACTAATTAAAGGCTTGTTTACTGTGCGAGTGAGGTGAAAAGGGCAGATTCATTCAGGGTCGACCGACAGATGCAACATCTGATAATGTCTCTGGCCAACATGAAGGGCTTCACTAAAATTATTTTTTGCTAACTCTGTGGGACTGTGTCTGCTCAGTCTCCTGACTCTTGTGTAGTGAATGCAAAACTGAGACTCGTGATTCTGATTGGACATGAATCTGACACACTTTTTTTTATCCATTAATTCCACTGTCCATTCACGTTGTTATTTACACACACTGTGGGAAAGCCATTTTTTCACTGACACACATCAATTATACCATCTTGACGTGAAGCATGTGTTTGTGGACGCTCCAACGTCAGGTCAGATGTCCTGACAGTCGACTGACAGGCTGACTGACACAACTGTCAAATGAGAAACAAAGGACTGTAGGCCAGTTAATATAGTTCAGGAAAAGGGCTTCACCCAAGAACATCTACTACAAACATCCACCACGATGCACAGTAATGATTCAAAACCACGTTTTGAAGTAAATGTTTGAGTAAATCCCTCATATGGATCAGTGACATTGAAGACAGGTGTGACAGGCATGCATTTACCACCTGTTATTTGTCTTTCTTTTCCAAGTAATGTGGACCAATCTAATTTTATTACGATAAAACGCAAATATTTTAGATTATTAGTATAGTATATTAGTAAGTATGATTCATTCACAACTACCCTTTGATTAATCAGATTAAATATTTTAATAGTTTGACAGCCTTATTTTATTTTATATATTCTCAATTTTTTTTTTAAACCTGCTCTGATCTCTTTCTTTTTCGCACCTGCCTGGAAATTCCAGCCAACTCACTGTAAACACATTTTGTGCCAGTTTTGTTTTGGGAACGTCCCTGTATCTCATGGCTTTACTTCCAGTAAGAATTTAACTTCTGGAAAACGATCAGTGTCCTTTGTTTCAGTTTCACACACTTAAATATGGGCGAAGCTGCTATTAAGATAAACAGGAAGTCATGTGCGTGTACCACCCTGCACCAAGGATGGCTGCTGCAGGGGCTTCAGGAGGTCACCTGTGCCAGACTGCTGTGTCACTCAGATACATGCTCAGCATTGCTTCCTTTTTAAGGTGGTTTAAACCCCCCCGCCCCCGTTTTCCTTTCCACAGAAATCAGCTGGTGCTGCTGAGTCAGGAACTAAACCTCCTTGAACTCCCCAGATTTATCAACATAGACAAAGAGGATGTAGTGTTTTCATCTGTCAGGAAATTTTTTGAAAATTTTCTCCTGGACTGGCAAAATTGGTCTTGGTCACAAGAATGTGTCTCATTTTGCTGACAATGCACATTTACTAAACTGATCATTAGGTTTGACGAGGGGAGGATGAAGTAAATTGTTTGTAACCGAACCACATGAACACAGCTTTCATAACTGTCAGTGTATCTACCTGTTACATCCACAACCAACATTTAGAACTCGTGTTTGGCTTCGTGATGAGCAGAGTAACATTCACTCCCTGAGTGACAGCCTGTAGGCCATTACAGCAGGTCTGCAGGCATTCTGTCACGACCTCAACGAAGTCCAACTTTAAATCTTTGCCTCATATTTCTGTCTGAACAGTAATGTGATATTGGAGAAATAAGAGCCGGTATATTATTGCCGCTGCTAAAGGAAAACATGGCGGCAAGGTCACAAATATGCTGACAGTTAGCCTGTTCTTCTAGGCTGTTCTCATTTGTTAATGACAAAGCGTTGAACTTCAGAAAAGATCCAATAGATTATGGAAAAACATATAGAAAGATATGGGAAGACAAAGACATCAAAGTAGTCAGACGAGTCAGAGCAGTAGGCATTTTACAGAAGTGTAAAGGCCAAGGACCAGATTACAGAGGAATACAAGATGTGTTCAGAGTCATTTGGGTTGTTACCATGAAGAAAGGGAGTTTGATTTCAAACTGGGAATATTGATAAATCCTGATTTATCATGAATAACTACATTAACCTCTTGAATTTGCCTAAAATTCAAGTGGGAAAGAAAAATCACAAATGTTTCACAAAATCCATAAGAAGAAAAAAATATTTCTGGTTCAACCATGTTGCTCATGGATGAGTGTCCACAGGTCATCTCTGGACAACCATTTGTCCAAAATGTCTGTTAAAACTAACTAAAACCAACAGGAAGTTGGTCTATGTGACTTTTGTCGTCCTGTGTTTGCCACTGCCACCTACAGTACTGGAAGGTCCATAACTGGTGTTACGTTAGAGTCTGTGCAGAGGTCATGGCACCAATCTGTGATTGTTAACAGTAATGTCTGGTAGAATCAGTAGTACATTATGTCTGTCCCTTTGTCGATATACACACACACACACACACACTGACCATACAAAGGCAAGAAATACTGATCACCACGGTCTGTTGAAAACATTCATACATAATTAAAGGCCACTGAGTGATATCGGTGATTGTGTATCAGGACATGTTTAGGGAGGTTTGGATTTCAGCCCTACGTTCAACTCCCTAATGAAATCCTGCACTTTTCCCCTTTCGTGATGACTGAAGTAAAGATGACGGTTGACCTCTGCTGTCAGCCGGGAACAAGCTATCGCTTTACAAAGTACAACAACACCTCCCCCTAGTGGGTGTGCAGTGCAAAAACGACGATTTTGTTTGTTTTTTTAGTAAGATGATCAACGGCGGTGTGCAGTGCAAAAACGACGATTTTGGTTTTTTTTTTTTTAGTAAGATGATCAACGGCAATTACTATTTTCGCCAGTGAGGTGTTCTAATGCGATATGGTTGTAAATGTATCACTACATGGAGTATTACAGAAATTAAATGTAGCTCATAATGACTTTTCCCAAACTATTGGAGATGTTTAAATTAATATATTCTTATATCTTATATGATGTGATTATAAATATTAGGATGTCGACAAAGGATGAACTACAGAAACTATCATTAAACCAGGTTGTGGATCGAAACATGTGTTTACCACCTTAGACTATAGATCAAAACTGTTGTACTGAGAACAGTCTCTATTCTGGAGAAAGAAAAGTAAAAGCTACAGCGCCACAAACAAAGTAAAACTTTTTTTTACGTCCACAGAACGATTCGCCACACATTGCGCCATTATTAAAACTGCGCTGTTATTAAAAAAAGTTTATGGTTATTTCTAAAAATAAGTATCAAAAGAATAAGCTTTATATGCAAGTTCATAATTTCAAATTTGTGCATATGTTATTTATTTTAAGTTTTAAAAATAAATTTAAAGAATAATTTCAAATTTGTGCATATGTTATTGGAAGTTTTATTTGAAGTTTTAAAAATAAATTTAAAGTTTCTATCTTGTGTTTCCGTGTTTTTCAGGATCAACATCCGTTTATTCATCATGCTCTATGAGTATAAGAGTCAGTGACTTCCGGCAAAAATAAATCATTAAAATGTTATTTTTAAAAGAATGCAGTGTGACTAGACATTGACGGTGTTTTTTTAAAAACAATTTTTCTTTTTATAGATTTTTTTTAAATCGCAAAATACGTAATATTATAATAAGTCGCGCACTTGGGTTTGACGTTTAAGTTTCACTTTACTCAGAAACGGCTTCTTCGCTGTATTTAACCCTCCCGTCGTTCAAAGCTTCGTTTATTCGTCCTCATACATGACACGACAAGACAAGAATGGCGTAAGTTTTTATAAACACACACATACAGTATATATGTTTGTTGTTTACAATGAAATGCAAGTGAGTTGTTAATTAGAGATGTAAAAGTGTTTCTCACTTTTCTGTGCGCAGGAAAGCAGTCACCAGGTCGAAGAAATTAAAGTACTGATGTGTTTTGGTTGTTTGTTTTTCTCTCAGACCTATGGGAGGACACTTCCAGTTAGAGGCAAGCTTTAGTCTGTCCAGAAATATCCAGGACTAAGTTATTGGATATTCTATAAACTGACAATAGGCACGAAGTGTGAATTAATTTGAGCGTGAATGTTTTTTATATATTTGCGATGCGAGCTGCGATATTTGCAATAGACTCGTGAACTGTCCAATGTGTCCTCGTCCTCATCCATTGACTGATGATTTTCTACATGTCCTCTGTCCTCCTACCACTGGTTAAGTAAAGTCCTAAGACCTCAAATGACCATCATTTGAGAGCCATTTTTTTAAGCACATTGGATTTGGAGCATTTGCTTTTACAAAGGTCACATCTTGGCTCTATAAACTAAAGCTCCTTGTTTGTGTTATCCAACATGCTGCATATCTTGTTTTGTTTTGTTTTTTATCAGATATACTTTTAGTTTACCCACCATCAACTCCGAGGACAAAGGGAACACACGTCCTATAGGTCAGTATTCTACACCACGGTACTCAAACACAAAGCCTAAAGGTCCACAAAGGGTGCTTTCAGACAGACACGGTTCTGGTTCTGGCTCTCGTTCCATTCCTGAGTCCTTGGTGCTTTCTGGTGTACCAGCAAGCACTCATACCAGTTTAAGTGGAACCAAAGTAAAGGGGTGGGTCATGCAAACCAGTTTAGTGGGAGGACCCAAAGTGGGAGAATGTTACTCCAAGTTACTAAGGTGACAGTAAACAAACACAGAAACAGAATGAACAATAATGTTCTTGTCCTGTATAACAGCAGTCCACAACCCTTTTTGTTGTAAGGACCGGTTGACCGGTACCAGCCAGTTCCACGGACCAGTGGGGGATGCATTGTTTATCAAGGGATTGCTAGAGGATTTTTAAGGATCAGTTCACTTTCCAGACCATATTCTGTTAGTATTGGAGTCTTAAAGACATCATTTTTGATAACTTGCCAGTTATCTTTAAATTAAGAAATTAAATGGAAATTAAAAATTATCTTTAAATGAAGTAGATTATTCATTATTTCACTGTGGCCCAGTACCAAACGACCCATGGATCGGTACTGGTCCATGGACTGCAGGTCGGGGCCCTCTGCTGTGTCAGCCCCCTAACAAACCAAAGGTAATTTGGTTAAAGCGGATATTTTATCTTTAACTTTTGTCTTTAATATTAGATTTTTTTTTTCTGTAGCATTGTCAAAAAAGCACAACATGTTGGAATCTCCCTGGAGAGATGTGCAGTGGACTGAAGAGTGAGTAGATTTCCATGATTCTTCTAAACTAACTGATCCTCAGAACACCTCTGTAAGTCACGTCTGTGGTAAAACAAAGCAGTCAACCAGCGTTCAGCGTCTCCTCCCACCCACAGACGGAGGACCAGCCTGATGAAGACTATCAGCTCCTACAAACCAAAGCATCAAGAGGTGAATCAAACCAGGGTTCTGCTTCTTGGCCCAGTTGGTTCAGGAAAGTCCAGCTTCATCAGCTCAGTCCAATCGGTCTTTAATGGAAGAGTCACCAACCGAGCCATGGTGGGCACCTCCACCACCAGCTTTACCAAAAGGGTAAGAAGAATCAGCGTCACCAGTTCATTTATTTGTTTTTCGACAGGGAACATAAAACGACAAATTGACTTGGTTTGGGTTGTGTCTCTGAAGTGTCCTCATCCTTAAAAGTCAGTTTGGACAATTTGCTCTCAAAACAAGTCATTCCGATTTCCCACACTTTGTGACTTTGGTTGGACCTCAGTGTGTTGTTACTGCTTAGCCATTTCTTGCTAGCTGTTTAGCTATTGCTTGGCCTCCATGAAGTAGTCCTCAGGTCTGGAGCAAGCAGTGACTCATTACCATTTAAAGGTAAAGACACAGAAACACACGTTCAGAACAGGTCTGTGACACAGGTGTGTGTAATGAATCCAACTCTGCTCAATGAAATCTCATGTTGACATGGAGGAATCACTTTAAACTGCAGAAAAGTGATGTTGGAGTTTATGTTTTAAAATAAAGTCTAATTGTGTTTGTGTCAGCTGCAGTCCTTCAACATCCATGGAGAGAAGGATGAAGCTCCCACTGGACTGGTGCTGTGTGACATCATGGGGCTGAGGGATGAAGACATGACGGGACTGACCCTTCATGACATCCTGTCTGTCATTAAAGGTCATGTACCTGAGGGACATAAGGTGTCAAATAGTACTCCGTACTGTTAGTAGCTTTAACAGAGTGCCGTTGGACTGTTGGAGACTGAACCTCTTCACTGTTTCTCCTCCAGTTCAGCCCTGACCAGCCAGTGACATCAGAAACACCGGGCTACGTGAAGTGGCCGGAGCTCAAGGACAAGATCCACTGTTTGGCCTTTGTGGTGGACGGCTCTAAACTCAACACATTCACAGGCTACAAAAGCACTTTCCAACAGCTCAGAGAGCACATCAGTGACCTGGGTGAGCACAGATCCAACCAAAGTATTTAGTTATCTCTGCTGGGGCATATAATCTGATGTCATGACTACAGCATGTGAAATTCAGAGCAATAAATATCTCTTCTTCATAGCTGGAGACATATCTCAGTGTAAGGATGTTAACGAGTTTGAATAAAACCTCGTGCTGGTTTGTCAGCGACAGCCGATGAAGTGAAATCATGTCAAAGAGCCGAGGGCCCAAAAGGACGGCAACAGCACTGGACATTTTAACACTGGAGACTTTTGGCCTTCCAACTATACTGTGTTAGATATATGTCAAGTTATAATTATTTAATGCATGGTTTACTCTGACTAACTATACTGATGTCATTGAGGTTTAGGCTACATCAACAGTGAGGTCTTTACTTATTTCAGTCTGGAATCTGTGTCGTGCAGATTGAGGCCATTTTTATTTCTCCATTTAGTCTAACAGAATCCTAAGCATTATATGTGCTGGTATTGTTAACAACTTGAAAGAGCAGAAAAGAAAGGTATAGTGTGGTGATGGGTAACAGCAGACACCGTAGGCACAGTGTCATTATTGGTATCGATCAGGAAAGAGGGACATAATTGAATGCCTAATTAATTTGAATTCAATAAAATAACCCCAGTGTGTTTCTCTCAGGTATCCACCAGGTGGCTCTGCTGACTCATATAGATAAGATTTCTCCTGACACAGAGAAAGACATCAGTACGGTCTACAGCAGCATTCATCTAAAACAGTTGGTAGGTGGAAAACAACAGCACACAGTCTTGAGTCTGTGTGTGAGCGTCACACTCACAGCTGTTTGTTTTATAGATCGCTAATGTGGCAACTCTGCTGGGAATGTCCACCTCCTACGTCGTCCCAGTGAAAAACTATGCTGCAGAACTGGACCTGGACACCAACACAGACGTGCTGCTTCTGAGTGCCGTGGATCACATCTTGCAGTACGCTGATCTGTACTTAAAGGACGTCCCATTATCAACGAACAACTGACGTGAACGATTCTACAGCTTCAGTCAGTAAACCTTGTGCGTACGCCATATAAATGGTGACATTTTTTTTATAAAACCGGAACTTTCCCAGTGAAGCTCCATCCCCATCATTCAGGCCTTTGCTCATCGTTCATCTTCTGAATAAAGAAAATGCTACAGTGAAAATCAATATGATGTGACGAGTCCTTTTTATGATGTGAAGAAGCGACAGCTACAGATTTCGGCAAACTCTAATTTCCAGTTTTTAAGTGAGTTTGTTGAATAAAGATGTTCTTTGAAGAATACAAGGGTTTTTGGACGTGGTCCAATGTATGTTCTTTGAAGAATACAAGGGTTTTTGGTCCAATGTAGATCCATTTTTAAGGATTATATAACCTTTGACCTCTGTCTTCTTCACAGTGTCTGGTGAACAGCTGTTAAGAACTGAGTAGCATTTCTGCGCAACAAAAGCAACCTTTCACCTGCCAGAATGTACCTTATCGACTGTTCGTCAAACACCTCGTTAGCCAATGAAAACATTCCCTGCGCTATTTGAACAGTTTGAACCGATGAGTCACTGACTGATCCTCCTAATGGAACAGATTAATCCGACCATTCAACCAAAACATTATGTCATCACCGATCACAGAAGGATTAAAGTCAACAAAGGTGGCAGAGATGCAGTCACAGCGCAACAAATCACCCCTGACAAAAAAAAAGAAAAAGAACAAACCAAGAGAGCGTGTTTGAAAAGCGAAACGAGAGAGTGGCTGGTGCAGAGGTGCAGCGTAGCTGATGCTTGCTGCTGTCCAGCACCGGAAGAGAGAAAGGAGGAGGAAAATGCAGAAGATAGGTGGCAGTAGAGTCACTCCATGCTGTCAGAACACAACAGAGAGAAGGGCGGTGAGGAGAAGAACTGTAAGGAGAACAAAGCAAGAGAAGAGAAGGCAGCGTTACAGCTGCCACAGGCCAATTAGCAGTCCTTTGAATCAGATGAATGAAACAAAGGAGGTCACTGCAGCAAGATGGCGGTAGTGAGACATCTCAAAGGCCAACTGTCAGTACAGGCAACTGTATTTAAACAGTAAATAATACACACTAAGGTCAGTTGTACACATCAAGAAAGATCACAAAGGCAAATGACATATACAGTGAGACAACATTTGAAATTCTAACCGCCATAAAAACCACAACCACTCCCCCTGACATGGTGCAGAGGACAGAGGCAGTGCAGCACCAGCATGGATCACAGGTGCCATAAAGCACGAAAGAAAAAAAAAAAAAAGAACATATCATGATTAAAGAACATAAAGAACATCAACCCCAACATGCCGAGGGACTCCCGTTCATCAGTTAACCGTTGCACTGGGAGAGTACTACAAAGCTGAAGAGTTTTTTTCAGGCTGGAAAAATCGGGACCAACCATGGATCTTGATTTGGATTTGGAAACTATTATCCAGAGTATTCTGGCTGTTGACTACGTGGGATTCCATGAGATCCTGGAGGAATCACCCGAGCAGCTCCCCCTCTCTGCTGCCCCCCCTCAGTCAGCGGAGAGCGTGAGCAGCGCCAGTCAGCTGCCAACTGACGCCACCGACCAACAGTCTGCGGCCACTCTGTGTCAACCGTCGCTGCACGGTCACGCCGCCCTGCTGACGGAGGATCAGCAAAATGTCCAGGTGGTTGACCACGGCCAGGAAATGGTAAAGAATTAGCACTGACACGGGGACAACATGCTAATCACACTTAGCACAATTAAGAAGTTTAAACATTACAAATAGCTGAAAAACAGACATGACATGACATGTACAGAAACACCGCTCCACACTTATCAAATATTTATTATTGAAAAGTTGAAGAAATACGTCTTATCAGAAGTTCAACAAATTTTTCTGTCTCCTCCTCTGATCTGTTATTGGTCTCTGATATCGTTCTATTTCTCTTTTCTTTTTCTATCAATGTCACATATCCAGTGTTTGAACAAAGATGTTGATTCGTCAGAGCAGCCTATGGATCAAGAGGATGAGTTGACGCTCATCACTCAAAGGATGCTGAGGGGAGAGATTCCCGACATTGATTCGGAGGTGATTCGTAACATCTTGGAAGAGTCTCCCAACCCTCTTCCTCCTCCTCCTCCTCCTCCTCCTCTCATTCCCCAATCAGGTTTCCATCAACCGCAAACTGCTGGAGCTGCCGAGGAACAGGCTGTTCCCACCCTGTGCCAACAACCCCTGCATGGTCAAACCATCGTACTGTCAGAGGGTCGACAAAATGACCTGCAGGGCCACGGCAAGCAGGAACAAGTAAGACCCCAAGAGTCTGATGTGTAGAAAAGACGCAGTGCTTTGATGAGATACCTTACTTAGTCGTACAAGGATTAGGCCGGTCACTGAGTAACTCTTCATCACCAACATCATCCTCAAAGTTTCTGAAGTTCAATTTTGTAAGAAGACGTCCTCACATCCTCAGGTCTAAGAATTTAAGATATACTTTTAATTTTCATTAGGGCTGTCAAACTTAATATTTCTATTCTTAATGATCACAGGACAGATGTGGATTAATCACATCCATCCATCCATCCATTTTCATCCGCTAATCCGTTACCGGGTCGCGGGGGCAGC